GTGTGCCCAGTTGGCCTCTAGTTGTACAGCCACAGATTCAACTAAAACAAGAGCATCTGAAAAGGACCCCGCTTGCTTGATGTATTCCAAAATTATTTGCATTTATATCAAGATATGTGTTTTTGGATTATAAATGCAATCTGATCATAATGCCATGCATGGAACAGCTTTTTCCCACCCCAGCTTCCATCAAGTGAAGCTTCTGGGTACTCTTCAAGGCTGTGCCATATATTTCCATCTGTCCGCTTTCACGAAACCAAAGCATGGTTGGCTGCAGCTGCATAAGGAAAGTGTATTATCATCGTCTAGAATACTCTTTCAACATTTGGAAATTTAGGCATCATGGTATACTCCCAAATTGCTTTCACTAATCTGCAAAGTTCTTGCAAGGAGATTCACTTTTGATCTTAGGGGCTCAGTTCTTGGACAGTTAACCTTAATTCATTCTTTAGAGGAGAAGCCTGTTTTAAATCAGTAGAGATTAAAGCCACAAGAAGAAAACCATGCAGAAAATGTAGTATAGACAAATATTAAAATATTAAAAGCGGCAGAAAATTCAGCTACACCTAAAAGTGCTCCATTTCCCGTGTGTAAGTCCCACTGTGTTCTGCAGAACCTGGAGTGCAGTCTAAGTCTTCTAAGTGTACTAAGAAGAAGGGGCATTGTGCAGCCTGCCACGAATTGCCTAAATCTAACTGAGGACGGTGATTCTGCAGTAGGTTTGCTTTTAATAAATCTTTCTCCTTTTGTTTTTTAAAAAATATAGATTTCTGAGAAATATGGCCTTCCAGCTGAGAAGATTACAAAGCTTTATAAAAAAAGCAAAAAAGGGTAAGAAAAACAAATTAATCCTGCAGTTCATGTTTTTATAAAATAGTCCTGAGACCGCAGCTAAGCTTTTAAATCTTTCATGCTCTGATATATACTCACACTGCAAGACAGATTTCCAGCTCCAGGTTTACACAGGGATTGCAATAGATATGAAATCAACCGCTGGCCTCCAATTAATCTGGGTGGTTCTGCTATAGCAGTGGTGGCGAACCTATGGCATGGGTGCCAGAGGCGGCACTCAGAGCCTTCTCTGTGGGCACGCACACCGTTGCCCCAGTCCTAGGCCTTCAGCTGGGTTTTATAAAACCTTTTCGCTTTAGGCCTCCGCCGCCGTGTGCAAAAAAAAAAGGTTCAATCAATCAGTCAATTTCAATTTCTCGCGGGAAAAAAAATCTTGTAAAGTTGGAATTGATTGATTGAACTTTTTAGTCCCACCCAGTCTGCCGTTACCATTGCAGCCACCCCCACACAATGGGCACGGCCAGCCAATGGGCCACGCCCACCCGGCACCCGATGATGCATAAGTGGTTTTGGGTTGCAGTTTGGGCACTCGGTCTCTGAAAAGGTTCGCCATCACTGTGCTATAGTATTACTTAACTTGATGCTCTTCAGATATGTTGAACATATCCCATCATTGGACAGCATGGAGATGCTGCGAATGGTGTGAATTGTAGTCCAGTTCTTCTGTAGAGCAGCAGATTAGTAGAAATTGTTCTTGGAGGCTAGCAGCTTGGAAGGGTACCTTCAGCATGAGTTTTGGAAGCTATAGCAACAGTTTTTTCCCATACCACTTGTGTTTTCTGGGGAGCCACAGTGGGCTAGCTTATTCAATGGGTCTTCAGTTCCCCTGCTTGTTGCTAACAATGCCCTTAGCACTTCTCAAATTGGCTTTGGGCTTTGACCCAAGTAGCTTAGGAATAAGCTACAATTCACCTAATGATAACAGCACATAACAGCACGAGAATAAACCACTTGTCTCTTTTGAATGATGTGTAAATATATAGGACTAGGGGTGACATGATAGCAGTGTTCCAATATCTCAGGGGTTGCCACAAAGAAGAGGGAGTCAAGCTATTCTCCAAAGCACCTGAAGGCAGGACAAGAAGCAACGGATGGAAACTAATCAAGGAGAGACGCAACCTAGAACTAAAGAGAAATTTCCTGACAGTTAGAACAATTAACCAGTGGAACAACCTGCCTCCAGAAGCGGTGAATGCTCCAACACTGGAAGTTTTTAAGAAGAGACTGGACAATCATTTGTCTGAAATGGTATAGGGTTTCCTGCCTGAGCAGGGGGTTTGGACTAGATGACCTCCAAGATCCCTTCCAACTTTATTATTATTATTACTATTATTATTAGCAGCAGTAGTAATAGTAGTAGTAGTAGTAGTAGTAGTAGTAGTAGTAGTAGTAGTAGTAGTAGTAGTATTTATATCACAACACATCCTCCCCAACAATCTACAGTAAAGAGAAAATCACACCCTCATCAATACTGGCAGGAAAAGCTACTATATACAAACCCCACATTCAGTAGCACTGATGTTACCTGGTTGGGTAATAAAATATCTGCAAGTTATCAACCAGGCTCAGAGACCATCAAGGACTCAAGTTCAACTCTGAGCTACATATATCCTCTTCTGTTGGAACACCTAAATGAGGTCACTATCTTGATTTCCCTTCAATTAATTTACCATAATTTACTTATAGATGTCTAAACTAAAAAAAATCCTCTATGGAATCTTACCTCACTTCCAGACAATTTCCACTACAGCATCAGTTCATCAAGCTTGATATTGTCTACTCACTGGCCATGAGCCTCAAGCAAATGTTTTTATCAGTACTACATCCTACAGTGGTTTAACCCAATCTCCTCAAAATAGCCCTGGACATGTTGGCTTACAATTTCAGCCATTCCAGCAACTAAGGTGAAGATTGAGGTACCGTATATACTCGAGTATAAGCCGAGTTTTTCAGCCCATTTTTTGAGCAGAAAAATGCCCCCCTAGGCTTATACTCAAGTCAGCTCACAAAAGAAAAAACTGGGAGCCGCATAATTTGTGCGCACATACGCGCGCGCATGCGCACATGCGCGCGCGCACGCAGAACAGGAGGCTTGATTTAAAGAGTGGAGCCTAAGGCAAAACTTGCACCGGCTCTGCCCCCCGTCCAGCTCTGTCCTGGCTTCTCCTCCCCTTGGAAAAGACTGCTCTCCCCCCACCCCACGCTCTCCCTCTCTGGGACTTTCTTCTTTCCGCCTTTTGGCGCGAAGGTTCCCAGGGAGCGGAGGAGGAGGCCGACGGGGAGAAGGAGCTGCAGACTCACCTATCTCAGCCTGCTGTGGGAGGCTGGAGTTGAGGCTTCTGGCTCGGCTGC